GAACAATGTAAAACATGCAGTGCTGTCACACTGCTGGGAGGTGAATTGTTTCAACAAAACTCGCTCACTGAACTCATCCTTCCACATCCCATTGCCTGGTTTTACCTTCCTACAAATCAGCAGAGCTCTTGTTCCGAGACTAATGTTTTTCAAAACCAGTATTGCCAACTTCCATGATTTTACCCCAACTCTAGAGATTCTGGGTGTGGTTTTACCTGTCTCATGCAAACACGGTCAAAGGCACCAACTTGTGAATTTTCCTTTATTCAAAATAACCACCATCTCCTATTACCATCAATGGGGCAGAAGCCAGCAAGATGGCCCCCATTTCCTTGCAATCTATCTGCATGTGGAAGTGGGGCTGCCCTTAATAAAATTCACTGCCACCTCCCACCGTTCTCAGTAAGATTGAAGCCAGGCCCCAGGCAAAATGGCTGCCACTCTTGTTCAGGAGGACAAGGACTGTGAGCAGCAGCAAAAGCCCTGTAACAGGTGGATGAGGGGAAAGGAGGCAGGGCAGTGGGTGGAACAAGAGGCAGATTTAGGGCTGCAGGTGGATATGGGTGGCAGGAGGGAGGCTGACGTTGCACCTCATGATGGATGGGAGATGGAGGGCTCAGATGGCTGCTCTCCCAGCCAGTGGCAGGCAAGGAGAGTTCCCTCCAAGCCGCCAGGTAGAGGCAGTGTTGCCAGCTCTTGCAAATTGATTGTGAGTGGTGGGATGTTGGTGCTTGCGGGATAGCTGTCACAATGACATGAGAAACTCCTGTGACGAATGATTTTTCAGGGCTGGGTATGCAGGCAGAGTTCTGTGCGAGGGCTTTGGGGTGAAGGACGCAGACATGCCCTGCCACTGAGCCCTGCCTTCATGTATGGCCCTATAGCTGGGAGCGGGGCCCCGGAGGCATGAGGTAGGGGAGAGAGGTATTGGGGAAATGGCCTTGCTAGGTCCCAAGCAGAGAAATGTGGCTGCTGGGTCAAGACAGTAATAAGAAATGAATGGCAGTTACCTTCTCCTCACCCTAAGTTAGGGAAGTGTAGTTTCCATCTGAGCAGGCGGGGAGAGACGTGCATTTTTGATTACATTAAAGGGTCATTGAAGGTTTACTTTTCTACCTGAAATCATCACACACAAGTTGGCAGAGGAGTAGAAGAAAGTTAAAATAAAGCCAAAAGGTAGACTAAGACCATGTTTTGTTGTTTTTTCCATCCCCCACCCCAGAAAATCAAACTTTTTAAAAAAAAATCGTAATTTTTGATCACTCAAGGTTGGCAATACTGAATTAGGATGGAGGAGCGAGAAATATCCTAATGAGAACACACATGAGTTAATCTGGGGGCAATAGCCTTGCTGACCTGTAGGCATGAAAGTAAGGAGAGAAATGAGTCACAGTGGGACCTTGAGTCCAGATTGAGACCTCTACCAAAACACTAATACTATTAATAAAGGATGTTTAAGCACTGCAGTATGTAGTTAGGTATTGATTGTACTTTGATTATCAGTACTCCTCTAAGATTATTCCTTCTGTCATATCTTGAGTGTTACAGCTTTTAATAGAATCCTAAAGAGTTTTTTAACAGTGTGTCAAACATTGGGGGACTCTTCAGTTAGTTCTGTCTTCACTGGTGAGTACTCTGGGCTATCTAAATTTGCCTCCATAGAGATGCCAGTCTACTGTCTTTTCCTGTTCACATGCAGAGTATAGAAAAAACATCTTCTGTAACTTGTTTCATACATAGAGGTCTCTGATATTAAGTGTGCTGCTTTTTTCATCATACTAGCTTTGCTCATTTTGTATGCCATCTTAGTATTTATCTTTGTATATGAAGGCAAGCTAGCTCTGTGTCTAATAACACTTAGATAACTAGCTCCACCATGGACGCCCGAGGGATTGACTATGTAAAGTGCTGAGGAAATGGGTGCCCTCAGCCCCGGCAAGATTGGGTCTGTAAGTCTGAGAAGTGATCACTTAAATTGTGCTATTTGTATTGTATATGACAATAAAGAGAGCCATAGAGCAGCACAGACACAGTAGAATTAAGGTTAAGGCATTCTAGTTTTGTGGTTATTGATAATGTGAAATTGTTATGAGTAATGAGTTAGTGAGAGTTTAAATTTCTCAGGACATTGCTACAGGGGCAGAATCACAGTAGTTTAGGTGCCAGGTTTGAGAAATGTAACCTTAAGGATGTGTCATCTTAATTTTTTGGTTGTGTTTTAACACTGTTAGTTTAACGTGATTGTAAATTATAGTGTAAATAGGACACACATATGTTGCTAGTTTGTGTCCTGGAACAAACATTTACATCATCTACACTAGAATGTACAGATATATTAACTAACATGTTAATGTGTTAAAATAGACTAAAAAATCAAATGTAGACATAATCCAGGAAAAGGAGAGTTAGAGTTTCCTTAATTCTCTTTCCAGAATGTTGGAATTAATATGCACTCAACCCACTGAGATCTGTCTTCAACTTTAACTTCACCTTAATAAGGATTTTTAGGTGGGAGCTAAATCTGTTGTGTGATATTTCAGCTTCTGGTTTTCCTTTTTAAAGATAATTATTTTTGTGGTTCTCTTATGATGGTTTCAGACAACAGCTGATCTGTACTGAATTTGCCATTCAGAATGAAGTTTGCAGAGTTGTATTTTATTCAAGGCCAGTACCAGACTGGAACCCTGGCAATACTTTTCTATTGTTTTAACACTTAGGTCATTAGTAAAATTTAGCTTCATTTCCTAAATCATCACCAGGTGAATTTATGCAGTAAGGCTATAGAACTCTCTGCTAAGAGTCTGAGTTGAAAATAAAATTAAATTTGACTTGTCCAATTTATTAATCAGTTCACTATTATTTATTTTAAATGCTGCTTTTCTTTTTCTGTAAGAAAAGAATCTGTCATCACTGATAACTAGCATTCACCTCAACAGACCCATGAACTGCACTCTTCATTGTGAAGCCATGGTGTTAATCACCTTAGAAGCTTAATATCTGGCTAAACGTTTCCTGCTGTTCTGGATTGTTGTAGATCTCTAGGGAACTACAAGTTGTCAAAGCAGCAACTCAGCAATCATAGATTTTATAACACCTCCCTTGCTCTTTCCTTTACTGCCTCTGGTGCCCTAAGAAAATACAGCTACCTCTCAAATCTTAAATTTTGCATTATGTGTCCTACCTCTTCAAAACAATACACATACACTTGCACTTCCATGGAAGTGAACGTTCTTGCAGAAGATGACTCTTTAAGAAAGTCAGTGTGGTATGCACAATGTGTGCTGAGTTTCCTCAACTCCCACCAATTCCACTGAAGTCAAAATGACACCAGTAACCAAATCCTGAATGTAACTTCCTGTGTACTGGTCTTGAAGAGCAAATTGGAATGAGCTTGATGAAAATGTTATCAGCAGAAGACTGAATGTTTTCCTTTTATATATATCAGTGTTTCTGAATGTTGCCTGACCACTAGCCTAAGTTGTGAATGGGTGTTATGTACAATAAAACCTTGGTAGTTTCCTGGATTAGACTGATTAGTGTTGTTTAGATAATGCAGAACTTGAATAACTTCCTTTCAGGAAACACTGAAGCTGAAATGCTAAGCAGACATGCTGAACATACCAAAGCACTTGTGTTGACTGCACAGTTCATACTTGCTGTGAAAGACTCACAGAAGTCTATCACATTTTCACAAATACGGACAAATTGCAGATCACAACTTCCATGGGGAAGGGCAATTACTTACAGCATTTCTCATTTATTTAACAGACTGAGACAACAAAATTGGTTAGTAAGCTGTCTTAATAATTTATGTGGCGGCTATTTGCTAACAGTGTCAGATTTTGAAGCATGGAATTGGGGCTTTACTCTACACATAAACAGGATGTTCTGTGGGTGGAGAAAACAATTTTTATGTAGTTTAAAAAAATCTGCAAATGAAATCCCTGCTCAACATGCCCAGCCACTAATACTCCGTACTACACTGTACAGCAGGTCCCTGTAACAGGATGGCAAGGTCTGCCTGAAACACCATACTCTGCATACAGGTGTTGATCTTGCTGAGAAAAGGCGAGTTGAGTTCTGTTACTTAACTGGGGAAGGTGTTTTTTACGACACCCAAATATAAGGCAGATAGGAGTGGCTGTCGAGAGAGAGAGAGGATCTAGAGTTCAGTAGTCTTGAGGTAATAACCGTAGAACAACCAAGCCTGGGCATCTTTTTACCATCTAGTACAATTTCCATAGTAGGAAACATGTGACCATACATTTGTTATATAAACAATCAAATCACAATCTAGGTAAAACCAAGAAGGAAACCTAGGGTCTGGTAGGGAGAGGTGGACAGAGGTGACAGAACCAATATTCTTGACCTAGTGCCTCGACCCTAGAGGATGGGGGTTCACTGCCGTGAGGGCCTGGGAAGGGTTATACCAAGAAGGTATCTTTACTCCTGGATCACAAGGGAGAGGCACAATAAGGGGGCCATCTCTGGTCCTCAAGGAAGGAAGCTGGAGGGAGAGAGAATCTTTTCTCCCTTTTCTTCCGAGACCTCTGCAGGGAAGTGCCATAAAGCAGCAAACAGGAGAGAGAATGGATGCCAAAAAACTAGGGATACTAATATCTCCCAAATATACTTTACTGCTTTTGGATGGCTGCTATTTATAAGTGAAGAATATTTTATTTGTCCTTCACTAAAAACTAGTCTTTTATAGTCATACTCTTTTTAGCAACTATGTCGGTTCCAGATGACTCTACTTTTTTCTCAAGCAAAACCATAGTAATGTGTGGTGTATATTAGAAATTTTACTTGTACAGATTTTCATGATAAAATTCTTGTTTGACTCTATTAAAGTTATTAAAATAAATTAATTTACAGTTTCTTTCGAGATGTAATTTCCCATCCTACTATCCAATCCCACCTAAATAGACTTCGTATGAATTCAGGTGCTGTCTTCACTGTGCAGGGAGAAATATTTTTATTTGTTTATATTTGTATTGCAGGTGGCTTCGGGTGAATGCAATGAAGACACAGAGGTTTATAATATCACCCTCAGCACTGGGGATGAACTCACTTTAATGGGACAAGCGGAAATCCTTTATGCAAAAACGTCCAAGGAAAAATCACGACTCAACACCATCTTCAAGAAAATTGGGAAACTTAATTCCATCAGCAAGCTAGGCAGAGGCAAAATGCCGTGTCTCATCTGCATGAACCATAGGACCAATGAAAGCATTAGTCTTCCTTTCCAGTGCAAGGGCAGATTTAGCACACGCAGTCCACTGGAGCTACAGATGCAAGAAGGTGAGCACACAATTCGCAATATAGTAGAAAAAACAAGGTTGCCTGTTAATGTAACTGTGCCAAGCCCCACACCAAGAAACCCTTATGACCTGCATTTTATCCGCGAAGGGCATAGATACAAGTTTGTCAACATTCAAACCAAGACTGTGGTGGTTTGTTGTGTGCTGCGTGGTAACAAAGTTATTCCAATGCATTTTCCCTTGCACTTGACTCTTCCAAAGTTTAGCCTCCCAGAAAGTCTTGTGAAGGGGGAGCTGTGGCATGAAACCTTGGTCCAGCACTGGTTTAATATCTGCCAGGAACAGTTTGACATAGATGAATATTCCCGAGCAGTGCGAGATGTGAAAACTGACTGGAATGAAGATTGTAAGAGCCCTAAGAAAAGTCGATGCACTGGGCACAATCATGTGCCCAATTCTCTCAGCTATGCCCGGGATGAACTAACGCAGTCCTTTCACCGGCTCTCAGTTTGCGTTTATGGAAACAACTTGCATGGAAATAGTGAAGTGAACCTTCATGGGTGCAGAGATTTGTGTAGCGAGTGGGCCCTGTTTTCTCATGATGCTCTTCAGTACCAGGACTCTGGTGATAGTAGCAGTGACTACCTTTTTCCTGAAGTTAGTGAAGAATCAATGTTTCTACCTGGAAAACCAGAACTCCCTTATGAAGAACTGTGGCTGGACCAAGAATCTGGGAAGCCCAACGATCAGCCTCTTATTCGCTCACTAAGTGAAAAAACCAAATGTGATAATTACAGAAGTTCTTTCCGGTCAAAGGGCGGTACTGCATCTCTTCCTATACCTGGAACTCTAGCAGCAGCAACAAAATCTTCAGATGTTTCCCTACCTCCACCTCCGGTGCCTCCCAAATCAGAAGCTGTAAGTCAGTGTTACTTATTTTTATTTATATATTTATTTGTTTTTAACTGAGCGTGCACTTGGGGAATCATTAGGGCAAGACCCAGTCTTGAGATGGGGAAAGGAGAAATGTATATTGCAATCTAATCCTTGCCACGTGAAAATCATAACATAGGATTGATTTTAAAACAAATTAACAACTAACATTTAATCCCTACACTTTGGGATGTATTTTGCCTTGGTTATTGCTCTTACAAATGAGGATTCGCAGATCCTAAATGAGCCCTTCACTTTTCCAATTATACCTGCCCTTCAATGCCTCACATTTTGCTCAAGCTTTTTGTTGTTGAAGTATATTGGACGTGAACCCATTCAGAATACCTTCACGTCACCCTCGATTCAACTACAGAGATTGCTGCACAGTGATACTTCAGTATTTTCAATGTGTATCTTGAGTTAATAGTTTGTCACAGTGAACAATTCACTTAAATTTGAAAATGATCATAGATTCCTTTCTCCTCCATTATAAACCTGACTGTATTTTGGAGTATACTTAAACCATCCTCCTCAACCCCAGCCTTTACCAAACCAAAACCAATCTTATCCCTGGTAAATTCCCCCTCTGCCCCTTAGGAAAGTCTGAGGCAAACTGGACAAGGTATTTGTGAGACAGAAGAGTTCAAAAGTCAAGGAGTCCTTTGCTTTTGAGACATTTTTCCTAACTTGATTTGGTCAAAAGTCACATTTCTAAAATAGCTGGCCTAGAAATTCCAAATTTTGCAGTAATAGATTGGTCTTGGTGAAGACAGGTGCCTTGAGCTAATGCTGGATTTTTTAGGGAGAAAGTGTTGATTATTAAAAGAAGCTTACATTTAAAGTTGGAACCCTGCAGAGTTCTTAGCTCATAAGCCTTGATTATTACTTTTTTACACAGCTTGTTTTTTCTCTGGCAGGGTTCATAATACAAACTCTGTAGTAGTTATTCCGCCTCCTAATACTACCCTGGAATTTGTTTAAAGATACCTCTGCCCCTGGACCTCACACTTAGGGGCTCCCCCAATCTCCTTAAATAGGCTTGGGTGGAGATTATAACCTTGCATGGGTTGCTGTTACTGAGACTTTCTTAAACATTTTTAAAATCAAAGAAACTCTTAGCCAAAAGGGGCTGATTAGGAATTATTACAAAGTTTGTACCTATCCTGGGTGATTCCTGACCGTCTTTCAAGTTTAACTAATGAAGACAATTTTACGGAGTCTAAACACCTTCATAAAACCAAAAAGAACTGAACCCTCTCCCAACTATTATTAACCCTTTGCACATACGCATCTGTAAATATACTTATCCACTTGCACATAGTGGTGATACGTTATCAACTGTGGGGGCAATGACAGTGCTGGAGAAGTACACATACAGAACTGGAGACCCAGGATGAGGCCCTCCTGAAAATCAGTACCCATTCCACAAGCTGGAACTGCAGCATTATGTAACCCGTAAACAGAACTCCAAGAGCTGTGCTAACAAACAGTTGGAGATGCACAATTACAATGTTTTGACAATGCTATGTGTATTGTCAAAACAAGTGGCCATGTTAACTTCAGCTGCATTCCAAATGGAAGACAAATGAGCTTCCTAGAAAGAACAGAAGTCCATGGGAGCAGGGTAGATTGGGACTTCACTTTCTTATTGAACAGTATACAATTACTCTCAACTTGGTAGTTTATAATGCTAAATAAAAGCACATGAAATACAGAAACCTTAATTCAATATTGTTCTGGGTTAGTATGACTGAGTTCGGTGAATAGATATTTCCATGAACGATGCCTTTTAAAGTCATCTTGAAAGTATGTCTTGGTGGTGTGTGTTAGTTATCAAGGCGTGCGTAATATTTGGCTGAGCAACTTCAGCAATTTTAGTATATTTCTTGCCATGAAATGGAACCAATTTCTGCTAAAGTTATTAATATACATTTTCAGACAGAGTTGGGTGTTTATCTGATGTATGGAATGAATCAGAATCAGTTTTGTGCCTTCCTGGAACAGCTCTAGAAAGAACACCAGCCACCTACTGACTTCATCAGTGGGCTAGGGTTGAAAAGATGTTTGTTCGGTTTCCATGTGAAGTATTTATAGAGCAAGTAGAGCTCAGTAGCTGCTAGTGAACATATGGTTTTGTCATCACTCCCTTAAAATGATATTTCATAGTATGTCTCCATCAAACTTGGCTAATGCTTGTACTTCTGCATACAAAACATTTAAAATATACATTAAAAAGGGGAAAAAATGGTTTGTGGGACACTTAACTATTTTAGAAGTTTGATCTTTTTTTCTCATCTACAAGATTATCAAAAGATTTTAATCCTATGTGAAAACAATACAATGTATTCTGTAAATATTGTATTAGAAAAATTTTAATAGTGAAAATAAATAGGAAGTCAAGTCACTCCTAAAAGACTTAATGCTGGGTGGATTCGCTGGTGTGTTTATTTTTTTAAGCATGTGCAGCATGGGGTATACTGGAAGAGTCAAGTTCATGTAAACAAAAAACATTGAAAAAATATATTTAGGAAAAGCTGAGGTTTTAAGTGGAGAACCCTGTTTATTTGATTTTTAGCCATGAATTTTTTCTGCTTTTAAAACTGTAGGCGAGATGTATTCTGTGTCATGGACACATTTTTCAGAAGCTCCTATGTCACTTAGCTGCTTCTGAAAATTTTACCCCACATGGTTACAATGGCGGAAGGCTGTGACTCTGGCAGACCAGATGCCAAGGCCCTAGGTCTCACCTGAACAATGACACACACATAGCTGGAACCAGTCTGGTTCACCCGTGCCTTAGTAGTGTAAAAATAGGTATTAGAATTAAAGAATGTGTTTAGACTTTATGGAATGCTTGTAAGTCACTGCATGCATTAATCTCACTTATAATTTCTGTATCCAATGTTATAAGTAATATCACAGCAAAATGACCAAGTATTATTACTTTATCAACTACAATTGGTTAATAACATAATAAAAGCGTCCTTATTCAGGAATCGTCAATGGACTCCAAAATGTCTACAGCATGGGGCCTGGAGTGTAGAGGGTGGAGGATCTGAAATAGTGATTCCCAAAGACTCTTCAAGCTATTTTGTCTAACCCTGGCAAAGCAAACATATGCAACTAACTAATTTGACCAGGTCTGTTGACCAATAGCTAAAAGATCATCCATTTTTAGAAATGAAAGAATAAAAAACGGTTACCTACCTCTAACTGTTATTCTTCTAGATATGATGCAGACATGTACCCCAGGCACTGGAACCGGAGACCTTTGCCTCGCAGTGCCCGTAGGGGCAACTGCGCTCACGCTCTGAGGCCTTAGTCCCTTCCTTGGTCATATAAAGGTGCCACTGTTCTGACCCCTTCAGTTCCTTCACACCAAATGTTAGACGTTCAGACTCTGATGCAGAGGGGATGGCGGATGGTAGTGGAATGCACATCTGCATCGCATCTTGAACAGCAGCAGTTACAGGTGGCTAACCATTTTTTCTTCTTCGAGTAGATACAGCCACGTATTTTATGTAGGTGACTTGAAAGCAGTATTTGCAGGAGGTGTCTATTTTAGGAAGGACTGCAGTGTTGCCTTCCCAAAGTTTGCATCTGATCTGGACACAATGCTGTAATGACACAATGGTTTGCAGAAGTATGCTCAAAGGATCAACTGGCTTCCCTGCAAATGTCCAATATAGGAGTATCATTTAGATATGCCATTGACGTCGCCTGAGCTCTTGTGGAATGAGCTCATACCGTTTGTGGACTACTTCATATCTGTTGTGATATAGGAAGTTATCCCACCTGGAGATTGACTGTGGAGAGACTGCTTCATTTGGTCGTCATATAAACAAACAGACGCAGTGAAGAACAGAAAGGTTTAGTTCTGTCCAGATAAAATACTAGACATCGCCTGACTTACAAAATGTGGAGACGGTGCTCCTCTGGCATTGAATGCATCTTAAGGGAGAACACTGGTAAATATATAACTTGGTTCAAATGAAACTGGGAAACTACCTTAGATAAAAACTTAAGGTGCAGCCACAGGGTCAGTTTATCTTTGAAAAATCAATGTAAGGAGGCTCTGCCATCAAAGCCTGCAATTCGCACACTCTCCTGGCAGATATTATCGCCACAAGGAAGGCTATTTGCTGACATAGAAGGGAGAAAGAAGTTGCCAAAGGCTTGAATGCAGGTCCCATAAGAGCTGCTAAAACAGTTTTAAGGTCCCACAAAGTAACCAGTTCTGTAACCGATGAGTGGAGATGAATGACTCCTTTCAAGAACCTTACTCCCATGGGGTTTGAAAGCACCCACTTCCCATGGATAAGTGGATGAAATTCCAAAATTGCTGCTAGGTAGACTTTCAATGAACTCAGCGTGAGGCCAGAAGATTGAAGGTGTATCAGATACTCCAAGATGTCCTGGATACAAGCCCGTGTTGGTTGCAGTCCCCCAGCTATCACCCATACTGTGAACTGCTTCCACTTGGCCACAAAGGCTGCCCTGGTGGAGGGCTTCCTACTGTTAAGCAAAACTTGCCAGGTCGTCTCTTCCTCATCTAACCATGCAGCATCCACACTGTGAGATGCAGGGATGTTAGGAGCAAAACCTGACCATGATGCAAATCAGGAGGTCGGGGTGAAGAGGAAGGAATACAGGAGGCCGGATCAGTAGTGTGAGGAGGTCAGAAAACCAACGTTCTCTCAGCCACGTTGGAGCAATAAGCATGACACAGTCCATGATCGGAATAGGAGAAAAGGCATACAAGAGTGCTGTTTCCCAGCTCAAGTGAAAAGCGTTGGCCAAGGAGGCTAGACTGAGACCTGCAACAACTGGCATTTCTTGTTTTTGCTCGTAGCACACAGGTTGATTGTCAGGATGCCCCAAACTGCAAAGATGGACCACAGGATGCTGGGCTGAAGAAAGGAGAAATTCCTGCCGAGGTGATCCAGCAGGTGATTGTAGATCCCATGCAAGTGATCAGCCATGAGGGAAAGGTTCCCCTGATGCAAAACTGCCAGAACCTGATTGCCTCCTGACAAAGCATGTTGGAGTGTGCTTCCCCTGCCTGTTCACATAATACATTGCGGTGATATTGTTGGTGAGTATGAGAACTGCTAAGGCCTTGATGTGATTTTGAACGGTCTGAAAAGCATTGTAGATGGCATGAAGCTCCAGGACACTGATCGGTAGAGAAGCTTCCTGTTCTGACCACAGGCCTTCAACCTTCTGTGACTCCAGATGCACTGCCCAACCTATTAAAGAGACATCAGTGACAATAGTTCTGGTCGGTGGAGACTGAGCAGAAGGATTGCTCTGGCA